GCCAATCAGTGATTCTGTTTCATTGATGTTTCTATCTCTCCCTCCCTCTTCCTTCCTCTCTAAAATCAATTTAAAAATAATTTTTTTTAAAGGAAGGTTTCCATACAAGGCAGTGCAGACTGTAAGTTCTAGTCCAGTCTCCACCGCCTGGCCCTGGGGACTGAATGTCTCCTTGGCAGCATGCCTGGCTCTGTACTTGTGACGGCACAAATGTTATTCATGGCACTTGCCTCGTAAAGACCACTTTTCCGTGCAGGGAAGCTAAGGTGTGACAGGTAATTTACCAAGGATCTGCTGCAACGCCAGGCACTCCCACCCTTTCTCCTCTCGCAGGTCCCGCGGGCCAGGCTCCTGAGGGCCCCTGTGGGCAACAGCAGCCACTCGGGCACCACCTGGTCACTCTGCTCAGACGCAGCAGAGGCCAGGCCTGCTCCGCTCCCCAGGCCCAGCTCAGGGTTGTGGGGGCCTCATCAGTGCTCACCTGGGCCTGGCCCAGGCCTCTGTCAGTCTGTGCTGAACAGATGTGATGACAGCCGCTGGGGGAGATGGACCTGGTGAGGATGCCCTGTGGAACTGGGCTAATCGGGAGGGTTAATTTACATCCGACCTTCCGTGTAAGGAGTAAGTGTGTAGCTTAGAAGGGCTGTATTGCTGGGAGAAGAACGCAGAGACATCTTCTGCTTTCACGTCCTATTCTATTTACATCAGCAGATGGGGTGGCCAGGTCTGCAGGGAGGCGCGACTCCTGGAGGTGCCAGACTCTGCTGGGGCCCCTTGGTAAATGGCACTGTTCTTCCTTTCATCATCTTCCCTGGTGGGGATGTGGGCATGGCCCCAAGTGCTAATTGTCTTATAACACAGAGCTGCTAATGAGGAAGATGAGGAACCTCCCAGCCTGCAGTCCTCACCCCTTTCCCTCCCCGCCACTCTCCCTCCCTGCATTCACCTCCCACCGCCCCCCACATTCCCACACCCAGAGAGCAGCTCTAGGGTCCCCAGTGATTAGCACTCGGGTGCTGAGGGTCCTCACATTCCAGTGGGGGAGACAGATATGGAAACAGATCAGTGAGGGAGTGTTACAGGATCTGAGCTCATGGAGGGGGGTTCAGCCCTCCCCCTGATGCTGATAGGGTGAGGGTGGGGGACAGTGGAGGGAGAGTGCCAGTCACAAAGGACATGTACTCTGTGACTCCACCTACATGAGGTACCTGGATAGTCAGGTTCATGGACACAGGAAATAGAGTGGGGTTGCCAGGAGCTGGAGCTGGGGAGGCAGGGAGAGACTTTAATGGGTAGTTTCAGTTTGGGAAGATGAAAAAGTTCTAGAGTTGGTGGTGGTGGGGAGGGGGTGGTTACCCAATAATGTCAGTGCACTTAATGCCAATGAGCTGTATGATTTTATTTTTTAAAATATATTTTTATTGATTTCAGAGGGGAAGAGGGAGAGAGAGAAACAATGATGAGAGAGAATCATTGATTGGCGGCCTCCTGCAACCTGGGTATGTGCCCTTGACTGGAATTGAACCCGGTACCCTTCAGTCTGCAGGCTGACGCTCTATCCGTTGAGCCAAACCAGCTAGGGCGACATTGAAATTTATACTTAAAAAATGGTTGAACCCTAGTTGGTTTGGCTCAGTGGATAAAGCATCGGCCTGCGGACTGAAGGGTCCCCAATTCAATTCCAGCCAAGCGCACATGCCTGGGTTGTGAGCTCAATCCCCAGTAGAAGGCACGCAGGAGGCAGCCGATCGGTGATTCTCTCTCATCATTGATGTTTCTATCTCTTTCTCCCTCTCCCTTCCTCTCTGAAATCAATAAAAAAATACATTTAAAAAATGGTTGAAATGGTGAGTTTTACATTATGTGTATTTTACAATAAAAACGGAGTTGATGTGAAGAGAAAATTAAATACAGATGATGTAGCCCAACAAGACGGTATGTGAATGCCAAGGCTGGGAACACTGTCCCTGCCTCACCCAGTGGCGACGGGGTCTTTGCATGCAGACGAGACACCTTCTCTCAATAATCCAAAGTTTATTTTAAATTTTCCATTTCTGGGAAAAATAATGTTTTAAAACCTCTGTGGTCAATAGGCAGGTAGAAAGGGAAGAAATGTGACATTTGTTAAAAACCTTCTTGTGCGTGTGTTCTATTTCCTTTCCCTTAATTCTAATAACACTGCAGTGGAGGGGTGAACCCAGGTCCACACACTGGGAAACTGGCCCCATGCCAGTGAGTGGCCAGCCCAGCCCTCCATACCGGGCTCCTCCTCCCCGCTCTGAGCACTGTGGGTGTCCCTCACTGCTTCACCTCTGTTCATTGGGCAAAAAATCCCACATATTGGGAATTTTGCATCTGCAGGGCATTCATTTGGGAAACTATGGGTTGTAGGTCAATCAGTACCCAAAGCAGAACACACAAGAGCCAGGAGCAACACCGAGCACCGCCTCGTACTCCCGGCTCTTCCGGTTCCTGTTTCACGCGTGAAAACAGATGTACCGCACCCACTCTCACCACAGAAAACACCGATGTGCAGAGGAAAGAAAACACGCCGTCACAAAGCACGGGTCACGGCACCCCCGGAAGTAACCGCAGCGCTCATTCGGGCCAGTATCCTTCCCGTCTTCCCCGGGCATAGGTACATACACATCCATTTTACGGTAGTTTTATCACCTGGTTTACAGCTCAATATATTGGGAACATTTTCTCACAAGCATAACCGATTAAGCACTCTTGTTAGGAAAATGTGGACGTAATTGTTTTCCAAGGAGACTTTATTCCCTTTACAATGCCTTGAGAAAAAAGGGGTGTCCTTGTCTTTTACAGCTTTCTATAGAAACTTGCCCTTTGATTTAGCTTTTTAACTTGCTTCTCTGTGTCCATCGAATAAATCATCAATCAAGTAATCATTGTATTGTTTCTGTCCTCTCCCATTTGCTTCCTCTCTAACTGGTCTCCCTGGCCACACGGACCCTTCATTCCTCCAGCATCTGCCTATCCCCTCTCATTTGCTCCCCTTACAGATGCTTCCATTACAGTGTCTAGAAACGGATTGTGACCAACTGTACCTACTCAAAGCTTTATCTTCAGTTCCACGTTAGATTAGCTTTTTTCCCCCCCAAATATATTTATTTATTGATTTCAGAGAGGAAGGGAGAGGGAGATAGAAACACCAATAATGAGAGAGAATCATTGATCGGCCACCTCCTGCACACCCCCAACTGGGGATCGAGCCCACAACCCAGGCATGTGCCCTTGGCCGGAATCGAACCTGGGACCCCTCAGTCCACAGGCCGACACTCCACTGAGCCAAGCTGGCTAGGGCTAGATTAGCTCTTAATAATCTGAAGAGGGAGAAGTACTAGTATTTTGAAGAGAAGTGCTGCTGAAAGTGATCATATACTTTGGGAAGCTTATGGTGAACATGCTCCATCTCAAGATCCTTGTGAACTCTGGTTTAAACGCTTTAAAAATGATGAATTCGATGTGAAAGACAAAGAACGTCCAGTTCAACTGAAAAAGTTTGAAGACCAACAATTACAAGCATTATTGGATGAAGATGCGTATCCAACTCAAAAACAACTTGCAGAAAGATGAAATGTTGCTCAGCAAACAATTTCAAATAGAAAACCGAAAAGTCATCAGTGAAATGTTGCATTAATGGCACGAAAGAAAGTCTTTTTTGCATTGAATTGTGACTGGCGATGAAAAGTGGATTTATTTTGAGAATCCCAAACGCACAAAATCATGGATTGATCCAGGTCAACCATCAACATCGACTGCAAGGCCAAATCGCTTCGGAAAGAAGACAATGCTCTGCATTTGGTGCGATCAGGAAGGTGTGGTGTATTATGAGCTGCTAAAACCAAGTGAAACCGGTAATACTGATCGCTACCGACAACAAATAATCAACTTGAACCACGCTTTGATCGTAAAGCGACCAGAATGTGCCAGAAGACACGGCAAAGTAATTTTGCTTCATGATGACACTCCATCACACACTTCAAAACCAGTTAAAGACACGTTAAAAGATCTTGCCTGGGAAGTATTAACCCACCTGTTGTATTCACCAGACCTTGCTCCTTCAGATGACCACTTGTTCCGATCGATGGCACACACACTTTCTGAGCAGCACTTCACAACGTACAAAGAAATGGAAAATCGGGTCTCTGAATGGTCTGCCTCAAAACAAGAAAAGTTCTATTGGGAAGGTCTCCACAAATTACCTGAAAGATGGGGGAATGTGTAGCTAGCGATGGACATTACTTTGAATAAAGCACTTTGGATGTTTCTCTTGAAATTATCATGTGTTCTTTGATTACAAAGTCCGCATTATTAACCGGTAAATGGTCAATCTGCATTATTAACTGGTTAATAATTAATCCTCATTATTAACTGTAATAATGCAATACAACAAAATAGCATACATATCGAATCGCATATATATCAACACATGTGTAACTCCATCTATTGAAAAAAATCTGCATTATTAACCGGTACACCTAATAAGTAGTTGGTTCAGGCAAATCTCATTTATTGTGCTTTGCTTTTATTGTGCTTCACAGATATTGTGTTTTTGTTTTTTACAAATTGAAGGTAAGACCCCTCACCTGCTAAGATTACAACTCATGGAAGGTTCAAATGATGGTAAACAATTTTCAGAAACAAAATATTTTAAATTAAGGTATGTACATTGTTTTAGACATAACGCCATTGCACATGCAATAGACTACAGTATAGTGTAAACATAACTTTATGTGCACTGGGAACCAAAACATTTGTGTGACTCGCTTTATTGCGATATTCGCTTCACTGCAGTGGCCTGGAGCCACACCTGCGATATCTGAGGTATTTCTGTCCTGTAAGGAATGTCAGGGACCACGATGGAAATCTAGTCACTACTTCAAGGCAACTAACAAGTAATCAGCTCCCAGGACGCTGGAGGAACAGCCTTGACAGGTCATGAAGTCTGCACGACAAATGTTGCACACAAAGGTCGATTAATATGAACTTTGTAGAGCAAGGCAGGTGCCAGCCAGCATGAGAGCAGCGCCTGCGGATGGCGTTAGTTCTGGGGCGCTGGAAGCCGCGAGGTGCTCGTCCATCCCGTGGCCATCTGGAAGGAGGGACATTTGGTCATGAAAGGAAATCCCTCCGGCAGTAGGTCCTGCTGCCCACACACGTGGCAGATGGACATGAGCCCAAAGCTAGTTGGGCTCAACATTTGAGTACAGGGTGCTCATGGGATCAACACTGCTGACCACACAAAGTCAGACTCCTGACAGATCTTTCCACAGAAGTTGCCACAGGCCGACTGTGAACTTGCCCTTCCCTGGACCTGTGCTCTCACCCACCCCAGCCGGTGACACCTTCCCTCTGATGACAAGGACACAGCATGTTTTGGGTCCCACGTCCAACCATTCAACTCACACTTAGCAAATGCCTGTCCTGGGCCCGACATGCAGGGATGCAAAAGGGAAAGACGTCCCAGCCTGGATGGGGGTGGGGTGGGGGGGGGGTCCCATCTTGTCCTCACATGAAGCAACCACTTTTACCTACTTTGTGGACTGAATGTTTTCACTTTCTAACACCTGCAGGGGTGGAACTACGAGAGGCCCCTGGACCTGGGTGGACCCAGAAACCCGGTCAGGTCGGCGTGGGGAGACCCCTCTCCTCATGTCCACCTTCTTGTCATCATTTTCCTCAAGTCAATGCCAATCAACAAGGTACAAGGGTCCTCAGACCAATCACCAGGGGGTCTGTGCAGGGGCCTCTTTGGACCCATAGTTCCTAAGGGACAAGAGTGGGGCCAAGCCCCTGGTGTAACTTAAGGGCATTAGTTGGAGTTGGGTGCCCCCGCCCTGCTGCTGGGGTGGCTACTAACTGAGCCTGTACCCCCTGGAGATTGTCTGCGTCTCTCTGCCTGAAGGCAAGGAACACCAGAAAGTCTCTTGATGTTTTAAGAGGTCAAACCTTCTTGTTTATTTTCCTCAATAGACGGTCACGTACTGGAAAATGTCAGAGACTTGGAATAGCTCTCGATCCGAAAGGCAGCACAGCCAGCGACACCGAGGGCGAAATGCCAAGGATATGGAGGTCACCACCCCATCTGCAGTCCTCGATCCTTTTACTGGCAGAACTCTGGCTGCCAGGCCCAGCCAGCCACGAGGTAAGGCAGGAGACCCCTCTAGCTAAGTGCCCACAAGCAACTGACAACCGAAAGGGCAGCGCCACTTACCGCACCCGGGCAGGAATGTCTGAGGGAAGCAGCGCAGCCGGCCGTGCCAGCATTTGCACATGGAGCACTTCCGGGGCAGCCAGGTGTCGTGGGGCACGGACCCACAGTTCCTGAGAGGAGCACATAAGGCGACACATACGTACTAAGTCCTCACTTCTCCCCCCACCGCCCCCCACTGCAGGGCTTACTCTTTTCGCTTATCATGCTCACAGTTCCGTCCATAGAAGGAGGGGGGGCAGGCGCAGAAGGACCCCAGCATGCAGGTCCCCCCGTTCAGGCAGCAGGTTTTGTTGAGCTCCTTACCTGAAAGATGAGAGATGGCTGAGAGGGTGGAGGGATGGGAGAGCGGAGTTCCTGTGAGCAAAGGTTAGTGCAGCACCGAGGGCGTGGCCCCCGAAAGTGTGGGCAGATGTCTAAACATCACAGACCTCAAGAATAAGACTGGTTTTTAGTGTTCTCTTTGCTACCCCTGCCTTTGAGCATATAAATCGTTTTTTAAAAAATATATTTTTATTGATTTAAGAGAGGAAGGGAGAGGGAGAGAGAGATAGAAACATCAATAATGAGAGAGAATCATGGATCGGCTGCCTCCTGCATGCCCCACACTGGGGATGGAGCCTACAACCTGGGCATGTGCCCCAAACGGGAATCAAACGTCATAGGTCATAGGTTCATAGGTCAGTGCTCAACCACTGAGCCCCGTTCTGGGCAGCAGAGAATCTTGTTCATGCAAAGGCCAGTGGAGGTGTCCGGAGCCCCAGCGTGAAGTGGAATCAGCAAAGGAAACTCCAGGGATGAAAAGTGCACACACACTGCCTGTCTTCCCTCCACAGTGAAAACCTGTCCCAGCACCAGCCCAGCTCCAGAGCAGGTTCCCACTCTCTCAGGCGAAAGAGATCAAAAGACAGGAAATGGGAGAAGGGCCCGGCTGTGACACCCCAGTGGAGAGCGAAGGCAGGCGGCTCTTACTGTCCTGGATTCTCACGGGTGGCACCAACTGGAAAGGCCGATGACGAATCGCAGGCTCCTCCTGGGACCGAAGGCTGCCCTCTCTGAAGGCCAGGTCTCCCTGTGACGGACGTTCATGGTGGCCCAATCCTTAGTGACAAAATCAACTCGTGGAGTCTGTGCATCGGGCCCGTAAAATCGCTAGTGACCCAAAGAACCGAAAGTCTCTTACCAGCAACTAATTCCAGTCCAAATGCTTTGGAAATGGCCATGATCAGAAGCAGCCTGGGAGGGGGAGTCAGACACTCAGCAAAACAAAGCGCAGAAAGGCTTTCGCGTTCACACCTGGGCTTCCCGCAAGGACAGACCACAGACCACTAAGGGGAGCCCCTAGACTCCATCTCCTCCCATCGCCCCGTTCCGTTGAAATACCGGCCACGCAACAGCAGAAAGAAAACTGATGAGCATGGAAGCCCCCGACAGCCCTCTGTCCAGGATGTACTAACTTCCTCGGCTCTGCCCTCACATGCACCTTTAGTTAAGTCGGTGTAAATCTCTGATCATCTGTTTCACGTGTTTTCCTCCTTCATATAATTTTTATATATGACATTTTCTGTGTAATTGACAAAATCACATTTTGCTGACTATTTCATTTAAACCAGTCATTTGAAACGTTTTCAGGTTAAAAACATTTTCCATTATTCTTTTTGCTGCCCGTGGTTTTGCAAATATTGAATCTATGTCTTTCATCTTCTCAGGAGCAGATTTTTAATTTGGTTGCATCTTTTACCTTTTCTCACACACGAGTCCCAGGCAGCGCCCGACCCTCATGGAAAGTCTTAAAGGCACAGTCTCTCGGGAAGCACAGCGCACTGTTGGCAGCTCTTTTAAGGTTTGAGCAAATGAAATCAGACGAGGGGCTCGGGCACCATTTCCTACGCTGCCAGCTCATCACCACAGGCTCGCAGGAAAGGGGGACATACCTGCAGGGGAAGCTGTCCATCTTCACGGCCACAGCTCTGGACAACTCAGGGGAATGTCAGTGCGGCTTCAATTCAGTCCTTGCCAAAGCGCCCAAAGGACACATCGGTTTACGGACATAGAAATGGGAATTTAAAACATAAAAATACCCTGGTGAGAAATACACGTTTCCTAGGTCTTAGAAGCCGGAGCCAGGACGTCTGGGGAAACCGGTGGGAGGTGGGGGCTCAGGCTTCCCGGGATTCTCCTTTCTCCCCTTGGCTGGGCGGGAGGCGGGGACCCCCACCGGTGACAGCGCTAAAGCTCCCCACGGAGGGGGTGAGAGGCGGAAAAGCCACCTAAACAAAGAGCGAGTGGAAAAGGCGGATCTTGTAAAACCGGGGTTAACCAGGCCTAATGCCTATTAGTTGTGGGTTAAAAACATCAGGTTTCCTTTTTTTGGGGAAAAAGGCAAATCAATTACACCAGCCAGTCGGCGATTCAGGTTGGAAGAGTGGTGGAAAGTAACTGCTTTAATCAGGAAATTCTAAACACCAGGTATGGGGCTCTCAAGGCGTTTGATATTTTATTGCCAAGTTTTAATTCTTGAAATTTGCTTTCATCTTTGTTTTCCTAAGAAAGGTACTCAGGGGCGCAGTGGGGAGTTAGTTGGGGGGGTGGGGAGGCGGGCGAGAGCCTAGGAAGCTTGCAAAGGAGCCAGAAGTTCAGAGTCAGGAAGGGCCCAGAGGGGGTCCTGACCGCACGGGATGGAAAATTCTTCCTGGGCCGGAATTTCAAGTGGGGCTCGAAGGAGGGAGCCCTGCACAGAAGGGGAAAGGAACTCACACAGAAGCGTCCCACTGTGAGGCTGGCGAGGTTAGGCAAACGCCAGGCTGTGACTTTGGAAATTAGGATTAAATTATATTTAGGAACGACCTGTGACTTGGACGCATTCAGTAACAGAGTAAACACTGGAGCACTGTGCTCTGTGAGAGGAGGGTGGCACAGGACACCTGAACTTGGGGTCAATTCTGGTGTCACGGGGGAGCCAGAGGCCAAGCTGAAACCACCTCCCTGCGGAGCGGGGAAGGGCCACTGTCTGCTCCCACACCTCCCCTCGGGAGGAAACTGTTTTTATTGGGGGGGGGGCGGGGGGCATGAGAGCCAAGGGCGGATGCAGCCCATCCAACAGCCAGCAGGATGTTCACTGGGTAGCCGCCGGCCATGAAAGCCCCGTGGGGCCTCCAGCTCCCGGTGCTGCGCACCTTCCTGGGGGGCTGGGGACTTGGCCGGAGGCTGGAAGCCGGATGTGGGGGAGGACAGTTCCTGGGAGGCTCCCCCCACCCCCAGGAGCTGCAGGGAGGCTTAAAGGAAACAAAGAAAGTGCTCACAATTCATTTGTGGGTTTACATGTCTTCTCTGTGGAGGCAGCAGCACCTCCTTATCCAGAGGGGCTGTGATGGGACTTCTAGACCTTGAACTAGGACCCTGGCACAGGCCTCCCCGTGTTCAGGGGAGGGACTGGCCCCAGAGTCTGGCGCTGGGGGAGTTGAGCCCCCAGCCCAAGGCTGGCAGCCTCCTGCCCCACCAAGCCCCTCACCTGAGGACGGAACTCGCTGAGGAGACTGCGGTCCTCAGGGAGCGGAGGGCGGGGAAGTCGAGTGGTCGCAGGGCAGACAGAGCCTGGCCGTTTCTGGATGGAAGGGCTCTGGTGTTGAGTGGCCAGGTGTTTGCTATGGGGCTGGGGACCCACAGGCCGTTCACTGAACAGGCATTTAATGTGTTTACCTTGTCCCTGTTAAGGGCTGGGCTCTGGGGACCCAGTTGTGGGAGGTGACCCCGCGTGTAGTGAGGGAGAAAGGACACTGTCATTGAGGGAACTGCAAACTCTTGTTTCTGCCTCTGAGTGACCGGGGTGGCTGGTGACTTTAGAATGGCTGCCGGGCACCTCTCCTCA